CCTCCAGTCTCCCTCTCTCTCCCTTACGTGATTAATTGTTTGTCAACCTTCATTCCTCCTGACCTTGGTCTAGTCTTTGTTTCAGTGTCAAGTCAGTCAAACCTTTAGTCCATATCGTCAGTCCAGTCACACACATTCACTCACTCACACGCATTCACTCAAAAGAAAAAACTATTGTTCATCATTTTTGGTCTGGATTGACACATGGCAATCCTTTTAGACAGGAACCGGGTTCCCACAGATGGCTTCTCCCCAGCCCATTGTAATCTGGAAAAGCTCACCTTATATTTGCTCTCCCGAAATTTTTTTTTTACAGCGCTGTTAATTCAATCGTGCAGGCCTGCTTAGAACAAAAATGAGAAAAAGAGAGCTGATTAGTAGCTCATCAAAACACAAAACATAATCACCTGACAGGATTTCTCTAAGTGCACTGTTACAATTTTAAAGGGCCAAGTTCTAACCATGTCCATGATTAGTAAAACTCCCTCTATTAAAATAAGAAAACAACCTTAACCTAACCGACAGAATCAACCCATCACTAAAACAACAACCCCAAAAATCTTAATCACAGAAAAGTTTTGCTTACTCATCTAACAACATGTTGGCCTCAGGTTCTTCAGCATCCTGACAATCTGAGGTCAACTGACATAATTTCACCTGCTAAATACACAGAAAATCTTGTTAAAAGCAGCACCATTTGCACAACAGTAATATTCCCCATTAAGCACTCTCTAAACATGTTATAACAATGTGTCCTCACTAAATTATACATTTCCTGTCCAAATCTGCACTTCTGGACAGACCTGACCACCTTATTTAATTATCCTGTATTTTACCATTATATATTATACCAAGTAATTCTTCTCAGTCACTGCTATGTTTCCTTCATTGAAAGCCTCAGACACATAGCCAGACAGGAAGCTTCTTTGACACCACTAATTTCAGCTAATTTCCATATTGAGTCACATCTTAAGAAGTTGCCTTGACAACAGAAATGCATATTTAAACATTACCACATGAAATTATTTTTATTTTTACCGTAGTCACTTCTTTTGCTCAATCGGCACAAGAGCACTACCAATTCACTATTTTTAAAACTACTGTAAGCTTTTAATCACTGGTTTATCCTTTTTCCTTTTCACAAAAATCACTTTATTGTCATGGGTCTTTCGTGAGTTATTCCTCCAGCTCTAGCTTTAAGTATGTTAAATATAGCATTTATGTCATGTATTCACATTCATTCACATTCACATTCTCGAAAAATAATTTCACATGTAACAATTTGCACGTGTCTTTTCTATTCATTCAGGTACTTATTAGTTTATTTCTCTCTTTAGCTCTCTCTCTTTTTTTTTCTTTTTTTTTTTTACCTTTCTGTTATGATCCTCTGGACATTTCTAAACCTCCATGAGTTCAGTCTCAATCTTCAATCCAATTTTCCCATATGCTTTCACTGTATCACATCTAGGTTCACCTCTCACTACTGATCCTCGTCCCTGTTCTAACAGTTTCCTGTGTGGGCTCGCAGATCAACACAGGCCCAAATCAGTGGTTTCTTCTCTCCATTGCTTCTCTCTTGATCTTTTCAGTGTTTTCTTGGAGGTTCACTCCCAGCATGGCAAATATGAAACTCAGTGTCCAGTGCTGTCCAGTGCTTTCACACAGTCATCCCACTGTTTAACTTCCCACCTTGTAATTCAGAGTGCATGTTCCATCAAGTGTTTTCTTACATGCTGCTGCTGGAGTCTTCAGTGTTATAGTTCAGTTGCACTGTCTTTTTGCCTGCTGTTAATTCTTCAAGTACATGGTGTTCTGTCTGTCTTCTGTCTTCATCGGGAGATTTACTGTCCTTTAAGCTTCTTCTCAGGATAAGGACAGAATGAGAGGTGAAGCTGTCAAATTTTAAGCCAAAGCCTGGCCTGTTTTCATCCCAATTCTGTTAATCTATCATTTTGCTGCTGTACTCATGTTTTCAATATGAGAAGGGTCCATCTGTATTGACATACTAAAACATTTAATTAATATAATTTTCATTGCTATGTCTTAATACATTCAGTCTCTAATTCCTCTGTTTTTACATATCACACCAACGTCACAAGCTCACAGTTTTCTGCTTCACTTCCTGCCAGACACACACTCCCACAGCCACACAAACTCATGTTTTCATCTGTTTCTACAGCCTAATTGAACTCTTATTTTATATTTACAGTCTATAAACCCTCTGTAACTCTACTAAATGTTGATATAAAAGAATGCTCTCAGTACACACACACTTAAATATACTAAGCTCTTTGCATTTGCAAGCATTCACATCAAAATCTTCAGCATGCTTAGCAGAGCTCTTTCAGACCTCAGGACAATTAATAGTTTTGGGGTTTTTGGGTTTTTTTCCCCCACACATATCACCATTCTTTAGCTCAGCTTTGTAGCCTCATTCACACAATACTTTCATCAGCATTTTACACACTTCCCTGAACTTTGTTGTCTCACACACACACACACACACTTTTCTCTCAAAACAATGTGCACCTTTAATCATTCATCCAAATAACAATTTCACACATTTATATATATAACAAAAACTGCCACTGACTGCCAATAAATTATTTCCATTACCATGTCACATCTTCACTTCATCTTCCAAACCTTAGTACTGGTACACCTAACTTTGGTTATCTTATCTTATCTTATCTTAACTGATCAAGCACACACATCCATACATATGCAATAATACTAAGTGCAATAATCCTTTCTATCATCGTAGTATTTTTACTCAGTTGTATATAGTATTTGTATTTGTATTCTATTTTTATCTTATTGTATATTTATTTTATTTTATTCTACTGTATATAGTATTTTATTCTATTTTTATTCTTATTGTATTCTAATTTTTGCCTCATAACTTTTGCACTGTCCACTCCTGCTGTGACAAAACAAATTTCCCACAAAACAAATTTCCCACGTGTGGGACTAATAAAGGTTATCTTATCTTATCTTATCTTATCTTAACTTTACGACTAATTTAAAAGCCTCTAAGCCCAGCTTCGCCCAGCTTGCTGGTCAATTGTAGCTGTTATCTGTCCAGGATAGCGGCCCGATTTCTAAGCCCTATGATAATTTATAAGCGCTTCCCGCAGCTCGACAGAAGGTAGTGTGCGCTAAAATGATTTAGGAACCAACAGCTGAGGTTTGGCCAGGTTATAAAATAAATGAAAAACAAAAAGCAAAACAAAAAAGTTCTTCCTGCTCTGGTAATTAGACTGTAGGCCAGTAGACCGAGAAAGGCTCTTAAAAATCAAAGCTTATAAATAGCAGTTTTTCCAGGAGCCCTCCACAGAGTGGATTCTTCAATTAATGGTGAATAACTCTAACCTGGAGATGATTTATCAAACGGCCTCTTGATACACTGTCTTCAACTGCTGGACTTGAATTGAGCTCTCAGCAAACTGCTAAGCGTGGAGAGAGAGGGGTTAACATGTTCCATGCAGTGTAAACGCACACATTCATATTTTAAACAGTCAAAAAAAAAAAAAGACAGGTTCGGGCCACAAGAAAATGTGAAGATGGTGGTAGGATGGCAGTCAAAACTTATTAAAAAAGATCAAAGCTTATTACAAATCATTTTGAAAGATTAAAGCCAACCTCATTCAATAAAATAATTAGGTCACAAAGGTCACAAATAATCACATTTTGATACTTAATCCCACTTTGCAGACAGGTTTGGCCCAATTTCTGGTGTCAAGCCAGCACTGCTGGCTGACTTCTGGCATGGTAAGTGGTATGTCATCCAGATATGGGCCAGGCCTGGAGTAGATGGCACTGTTTATATGATGGCATGCCACATCTGGCCCGATTGTGGTTTGGTTTATGTGGCCCAGGCTCATAGAAAACAGGCCCAGATCCGGCATCAAGCTGGCACTTCTAACTGACTGGTGTCATGGCAGAGTGTATGTCAACCAGATGTGGGCCAGGTCTAGCAATAATAGTACTATTTATGTTCGTATTTTCCTATTTTAGTTCGAAGACCCAAATGCCTTGTTGCAATACTATACTGCTGTGGTAGCCAACGTTTCAAATGCAGGTTTGACAGGTTTGTCAGTGTACACTTTATCTAAAACCTAGTGAGGGTTTGCACATCTTTTCTGCTGGGTAGCTGTAGCTCAGGAGGTAGAGCAGGTCACTTACTAACCGGAAGGTTAGTGGTTCGATCCCTGGCTCTTCCAGTCTGTATGTCAAGAGAATTAATGTAGTTAGGAAGCAGCTTAGACAAAGTGTGTAATTGGGTAAATGTTGTATAGAGCACTGTGAGTAATCCAGTGCTATATATCAGTCCATTCATTGTCTGAACAGAGTTTTGTCATGTTACTTTTGTACTATTATGTTCCAGCACATGTTGTTATTGCGTGGCTTGATTAATGTACATATTAGGCTGAAAACTGGGGCCAGAGTTGAAACTGTTCTGGGCCACCACAGGGCCCGCAGTGTGTCTGCAACTGGCCCGTGGCTGCATAGAACTTACACATGGCCCACATATCGCAAAGAATGATGGCCTTTTGGTGGCCCAGACCAGGTTTGCCAGAGGTAATCCACACATGGGCCAGCACAGGATATCTAGTGTGTCTGCAACTGGGCTCGTTCTGGCCCGTGTGTGGGACACCTCGGGCAAACCAGATCTGGGCCACCAGAGGGCCGTCATTCTTTGCGGTATATGGACCATGTTTAAGCACACTGTGTGGGCCAGATCTAGGCCATGCCAATTTTGCTATCTGGGATGTGTCTCTTATTTTCTCTTCTGACACTGAGATGAAGCAGAAAAGAACAGCTGATATTTGGACAGCACACATGATGGAAAGGAGGATTTGAGTTGATGTGCACATGAATGATTTGTGTTTCCTCTGCAGGTGAAGGTAGAAAGTGTGTGTGAGCTGATGTGGATGTGAATTCAGCAGCATGGATCAGTGTGAGGACAGAGAGGAGGGAGTCCCTCCCTCTAAAACCACTCTGTGTGGGGAACATGAGAGCCAGACCAAAGCTCAGAGGTGAGATGACCATCTCTAACTGTCCATGACTCTTTAACATGTCACAGCTCAGCTCTCACATCACTGCTCCATTATTTTTCACAGGAACCAACCTGGACCTCAACCCAGCTGTGTGTCCTTAAAGAGTGACCAGTCTAAAAAACGCTTGATTGAATTTAAGGAACAACCCTCTGCTGCAGAGAGGTGAGCTGATGGGAACATTAACTTTTTGATTGCTGATCATTTGTGTCTGATTTAAATGAACTACTTGATGGTGTTTAATGGTTGCCAAAGTGCTTCCTCATAGGGGGCCATATGATATGTTGGGGTTTCTTTGTGTTATTTGACACTATATAAATAAAACTGAATGGTCTCCTCTTCAGCAGATGCAAGTTCATAAAGTATTTCTGGTCTGTATATGAAGTATAATTAATTTGATGTTGCTGTAATTGCATAATGAGAGGGGGGGGGGTAATTGGGGGTTATTTCCTATTTTCTTTTTCCTCCTTTAGCTTAAGTTCCCTAGTTTGTTTTTTTTGTTTTTTTGTTTTTTTAATTTGCTGGAAATACTTGCATTGATTTATTTAAACATGTAAAAATAATGTAAATACAGTATGCAAGGCAAAACAGAGTTTGTACACAGCAAAATCTCCAGTGTTAAATTAACACT